TTAGAGTATGTACCCAGGAGTGGTATAGCAGGATCATGTGGTGGGTCTGTTTTTAGTTTTTGAGGGACCTCCATACTTATTTGTCCTGAGATTTTTTTGACTCTCAAAAAGGAAGTCTTTTTAGTCACATACAAGCTACCATTTGGAATATCCGTCTTTCAGTAAAACACCAGGAAATGTTTGGTAATGCCAAGACAATGAGTCCTCCACACTCACTGTCCCCCTACACCTCACCCCTGTAGAGACAGAAAACAATTATGAGCAAAAACAGCTGCTACCACCAAGACCATGGGTAATAGCTGAGGCGGAGCTTGGACTTCTTTTCCCTGGGGAGAGCAGTTGAAGACTGGGTAGAATCAACCAGCTGAATTTCTTCAGGTGCTCACCTTTCATGTGAGGGCTCCAGAGCTCAATAATTCATGCTAATGCAGCCAGCAGCAAGCAAATTGCATTCAGATTCTGATTACAAAACAGAGCCAGTGAGTTTTATGATGGAAAACATGACATCAGCTGGACGGGAGGCAATGAGTGTGGTGGAAGCACCAGGGCTTTGAGGTCAAATGACCCCAAATCCTTTTCAGACCAGCCACATGATGGCCGCAGGACCTTGTCTAGTGACATTTACCACCTCAGAACTTTCTGTTTCCTGATTGATAAAACAGGGTAACACCACCTACATCATAGGGTTTTGAGGTCACATAAATGAAACGACACGTGAAACGTATGCTAGTGCAATAATGTAAGAAAAATTTCCATGGCCTAGCAGAACCCAGTACAGGTTCATTTCTTTCTTCAGAGTCACTCACTCTCTCGGGCACTCTCCCTCACCTTCTCCCTCTCTCTCCCTCCCCGCTACTCCTGTCACTTTCTGCCTCCCTGCAGCCTTGTCTGCTAATGTTTTCTGTAAGTGTGACTCCAGAACTGAGAATGCCAGGGCAGGGTGAAGAGGAAGATGATGAAAAGAATGTTAATGTTAAATATAGAATTTATAGTTTTTGCCTATGTTAAGGAGAGACAGAGAAAAGATGGTGAGGAAGATGAACATGAGCAATCAGGACCTCTCCAGGTTTCACAGTTTAGGCATCTTCAGAGGAATTTGAGCACTTCACACAATTTTGGTTCTCAGCACTCATTAAAATATGTAAGCCACTTATACTGGAAATATCTTCCAGGAAGGAAAAGAAGAAAGTAGATTAGCAATTTACAAAGCTTACATCAAAATTCCATTGACCCCACTGGAGTTAGAATAAGGTATAGCTCAAACCAGTAGCATCAAACTTAGATGGTGGGGAAGCTTAATAAAAACAAAATGAGCCAGGCACTGGTGGATCATACCTGTAATCCTAAGCTACTTGGGAGGCTGAAATTGGGAGGATCTTGGTTCAAGGCCAGCCCAGGAAAATAGTTCATGAGAGCCCATCTCCAAAATAACCAGAGCAAAATGGACTGGAAGTATGGCTCAAGTGGTAAAGCACCTGCTTTGCCAGTGTGAAGTCCTGAGTTCAAATCCCACCATATATATATATATATATATATATATATATATATAAAGCTACAGAAATCTCACTTTAAGAGATTCTGATCAGGAATGGGACTAGGATTCATATTTTCAACAGCTTCCAGGATTCTAGTAGTTATAAATGACAGATTTCATTTGGAGAAACACTGGCTTACTGGTTAAGAACTTGGGCTGGAGGACAGTCCTCAGTCAAAATCCTAAATCCATCACCTCTGGCTTTATTAACTTGGGCAACTTTTAACTTTTCTGATCCCCAGAATTAGAATACATATTTCAAAGTATATTAATTAAATCATGAGGATTAAATAAAATACATTATAGAGTGATTAATACAGTATCTGGCACATAGGAAGAAGCAATTGATATTATCATTTTTATTAACAACTGATATTATCATTTTTATGCAAAGCAAGGGGACCTGGATTCTTTTTTCTTTATCTTTTCATTCTGTTTTCCTTTTCTTTTTACAAATCTAAAAGAATAATGCATTAAGCAAGATGGAATTTTATGTAGCTTTCAGACAAAATCTGGAGGCAAAGTAGCTGGTACACCAGCTCTGTCACCCAGGCCCCGTCATCCCCTATGTAGAAATGGCCTTCATCTTCATTATTCAAGATGGCAGCAAAAGCTCCAGGAACTATGCCTGAATTCCACATAGCAGGTTTCTACTTCTTGAGCCATACCTTCTGACCATTTTGCTCTGGTTATTTTGGAGATGATGAACTGTTTCCCCAGGTTGGCTTGGAACTGTGATCCTCCTTATCTCAGCTTCCCAAGTAGCTACAGGATTACAGCATGAGCCACCTGTGCCTGGCAGTAACGACCTTTCTTGAAGCTTGCTTACACTCTATTGGCCAGAACTTAGCTGCCAGTGGGAGAGGGGCAATGTGACCAGCCAGTTTTCCAGGTACTCACATACTCAGAAAAATTGCTTTGTATTACAATGGAAAACTGCAGAGAAGGAATACAGAAAGACAACTGCTGTCTACTAGCACATCCAACCCTAGGAGTCTAGCAGATTTGAATCTTTCCCCAGAAATCCTGTTTTCATCCTGCTTCTACCTGCTTACTTCTCAGACGAGGACCATCTTTCTCAAAAAGAGTAGATGCAAACCATGCATGGTAGCATACACCTGTAATCCAAGCACTTGAGAAGCTAGGGCAGGAGGATCAAAAGTTCAAAGCCAACCTGGGTTACATAGCAAGTTCAAGGCCAGCCTAGGCTATGTAGTGGGACCTTACCTCATAAAGAAGGTAGTTGCATGGTTTTGTTATTTTACTCAGCTTCACTTATTTTCTCTCCCTAAATTCTTTCTATACTTTCCATTCCTGCCCTTCAGCTTCATTCATTTTCCTTTTACCAGTTTTATCCAATTTTTATAAACAATATAATGATTGCATTTTAGAAAACACAGCTAAGCACTTAGGAAAAAAATTGTTGGTAGTACTGGGGTTTGAACTCAGAGACTTGTGCTTGCTAAGCAGGCAGAAACTCTTATCACTTGAGCCAAACTGCAGCCCTCTTTTGGTTATTTTTCTTTTGACTTTTTTCCTTTTTTTCTAGTGGAAGTGATAGCAAAGTTTATGAAGAAAGGAGTACACTTTGAATAGACTGAAAGTGGGTCATCTCTAGAGCCAATGAGAATGACAATTTTGGTTATTTTTCACATAGGGTCTTTTATTTTTGCCCTAAGTGACCTTAAACTTTGATCTTCCTATCTTCAGCCTCCCACATAGTTTGGATTACAAGCTCACACCACCAGGCCTGTCTTATTTGTTGAGATGGGGGTCTCATTAACTTTTTGCCTGGGCTGGCTTCAAACTGCAATCTCCATGATCTTCATCACCCAAGTAGCTGGAAACATTTTTTAATTTCAAAAATCTAACCACTTAGAAGTAATCAATGTTTTGATGAATAGATATCTAGCATATCCTTTAGTATGTACTTTAATAAATAATAAAAACCCAGTCTACATGACTTTTCAATCTCTATTACACTTAACACTGCATTATGAGGAAGGCTCAGTTATTGATGATATGTCAACATTAGCAGTTTTAATGACTGTAGAGTTTTTCATTACATGAATGTATCTTAGTTTATTTGACTAATTCCACATGGCCACAGGAGCTGTGTTCCTGTGTGTCTCTGACCCACAGGCTGTCCTTACTGTGTCCACAGCTCTAGCATCCCATCAGCAAAGGGATATTAGACCTTCTCTATACCTCTAATCTGCTTGGAATTCCCTTTTCAAATGAACACTGCAAAGTGAGAAGATCCTTGAAGACCTGAATTAATGCCTAGCAGCACCCTACTGTGAACAGCACAGTGAAAGGGAACAACTTCATCCCACTGAAAAAAGCATTACCAATGGCTAGTGGTGTGGCTCAAGTGGTAGAGTGCCTGCCTAGCAAGTGTAAGGCCCTGTATTCAAACTCCAGTTCCACCACAAAAAAAGAAAAAGAAAAGCACAACCAAAATAGAATCCCAGGTGACAGAAAGGCATTTAAATAAACCTAAATCTTTAGAACTTTCAGTTTGCCAAGCTAATTTCAAGCAAGACCAGAGTGAAGCCATTTCTGTGTGGAGAAATCAGTTTCAATTAGAAAAAAAATGCATTTGACTGAATTAGTTATTTAGACAACAACCAATTTGACAAATGATTATTCATGAGCTGATTTTTAAAAAACAATGATTGATTTCTGACTAATTGTTTCTTTATCTCGGTTGAGCTGCCTAATGATCCAAACACTCATGAGGTCTACAGTTTCCAGAGCAGACTGAAGACAAATTATGCTACATTGCTCTTCTATAGCACTTTCTACTTTCAGGTGGTTTTCATCTCCATTTTCTTCCCATCAACATTGATGAGCAGATAGTATGGATAGCATTAGCCCTCCATTATAAATGATGATAATAAGTGATGCTATTTATTGAGCACATATTACATGCTAGGCAGGATGTTAAATGCATTAGGGATATTATTTATTCCCCACAAAACCCTAATGAGGCAGGCATTCTATTGACACCCCATTATATAAATGAATATAGTTTAAGAAAGATTAAACAACCATAATCACACAAGTAGAAAGGGGTGGAGCCAGAATTAAAGTCAATACAGATCCAAAAAGAGTTACTGGCTAGCTCAAGTTCACATAGGCTAAAACCTGATTCCTGGCATCATGATTAAGAACAAGAGCTCTAGAATCAGGAAGCATAAGTTCAGAACCCGTATCTGCTGTTTCCCAACTGTGTCAATTTATGGAAGTTACTAAACCACTTTGTGTTTCAGTCACCCTTTCTGATAAATGAGGGTAATAAATGTCTATCTCAAAAGTCTACCTAGATAGGAAGACATGATACACACACACACACACACAATTAACACATAGAATGTGCTTTGTAATTAGTTATTAATATTACACTTTCTGCCCCTCCAGCCTCTAAGCTAAGTTCATATTTTATTGGTCTGTGCCACTGCAGGTACCTCGAGCCAAGGCCTTATGCAACTACAGAGGGCAGAATCCTGGTGACCTGAGGTTTAATAAGGGAGATGTTATTCTCCTCCGGAGGCAACTCGATGAGAATTGGTACCAGGGGGAGATCAATGGAGTCAGTGGGGTCTTCCCTGCCAGCTCTGTGGAAGTCATCAAACAGCTGCCCCAGCCGCCTCCTCTCTGCAGGGCCCTCTACAACTTTGACCTAAGAGATAAGCACAAGAGTGAGAATAAGGATTGCCTGACCTTCCTCAAGGTAAGATTCTGGACAGCCACCAAAGTCACCAGGTCCACACAGTGACTGTGGCAGAACCTGCAGTTAGTTATTTAATACTTGCTTATTTTTAAAAAGTGTATACATGTTATACATGTGTGTATTTATATCAGTATATACATACATATGTGTGTGCATATATAGGTAATGTGTGTATAATTTAAACTTCATGGAAGTAAAAATCTCTGGAGAAATCAGCTAAATGTTTAAGTAGAAATCTTTAAACCATTTCTATTGCAATTACAAAAGTAAGTATTTACTGGTTCATTCTTTCATCTTAAAATCACTTTGAGCACATATTTTTTGCAGAACTGGTACTACAACATGAACAAGCAACATTTCCCACCTTTCTGGCAGAGTAATGGTGAAACATACATGGACAGAAAGTTACAAAAACAGTTTCATAAAATACCGTGCAAAACTCGGGCCCTACTTCTTTTTCGTGTAAGGATATTCTTGCTGATCAAGTTATGGCCACCTAATTCTACTCATCTACGAACGTCTATGTTTTTGTAAACACAGTATTCAAAACACTCAAACACGAAATAACATAATAATAACTTTACACATAAATAATCTCTTACAAGATATAATCTCCAAGCACATTAATTACCCTGAGATTTATTTGTCTCTCTTTTCCATCAGATGACTTGTCACCATTTGCAAGTAATGACAGTTCTACAAAATCTAGACTATTTTAACTCTCGTATTCAGTTCTTATTATTCCATAGACATCCAAAACCTCTCATAGAAACCAAAGTGGAGTTATTTTCATTCTTTACTATTTATGATAAGGAGATTAATCCAAGTACAAGAGGTTAGCACTGCTACAGAACTCAAGAAAGGTCTTTTGTTTTATAAAATATTTGGATTATCCTACTACCATAAGCAATAGTTACTTTGGATTCCCTTGAACTAGATAACCTCACTGTCCTCCATATTTAAAAATAATAAAGCTCATTATTCAGAGTGAGATCATTCTATAGCTTGAATTATAAAGTTTATACTTACACTACAGTTAGAGAGGTACAATTCAATTCCACAAATATTTATTGAGTATTTACTTTATGCCAGAGACTAGACACTGAGCTGTGGGGACACAGATGGAGGAAGACATAAGCAGAAAGCACTGTCTGCTTCCCTGTTCCTCACTAGGAATCTGCAAATAGAGACACTTGCTCTACAACCATTCATTCCTTGAGCTCATCCATATATCAAGTTGGCCACTGGAACAAAGTGACCCTACCTAGCTTCATGGAGCTGGCAGACTAATGGAAGAAACAGATACATCAATAGAAACTTATGACAAAGGAACCAGAAGAGAGGACTTGGTACATTCTGGAGGACTGTGGAGTGCTAAGGCTTTACTAGGAAATCTCTGGTCTTCCTAAACTCAACATGTCCAAATTAAACTCAAAATCCTACCTCCCCAAGCTTCTCTTTTCCTAGTACTTTCTATTTGAGTAAATCAGACATTTATTCATACATTAATATAGCCACTCATGCATGTATGTACTCAAGAAATATTTATTGGACACCTACAGAAGGAGTGCCACTGTGTTAGGTTCTGGGAAAACAGAAATGAACAAGCAGACACAGACCTTCCACTCATGGAATTTATGGTCTGATAGGGTGGACAGGCATTAAAAAAATAATAAGCTATAAATGTCTATTTGTAAATTGTTATAAGGACAAAGAAAGCTAAGAAAATGCATCATGCACTTGAATTTACATATGGATTGATCTAAATTACTTAGGAACATGGAACATAAGGTCTGACATTCTAGAAAGCCTTTAGTGAAGGAAAATACAGGAAATAGAATGATGAAAATGTATGGACATGGAAAGGTGGTCCTGATATTATGTCAGAAATCATTGTGTCCTGTATGACTTCATTTGTATGAAATATAATAGTGGGCAAATGAATTTATAAGACTAGAAGTCAAAATAGCAGTTACCCTTTGTTGGGAGTGAGAAAGAGCACAAAGGAGTCTTCTGGGCACTGGATTCTGTATCTTGAGTTAAATGGGTAGTTTGTGGCTATAATCAAATGTAAAAATTCCTCCAGTTTTACGTCTAAGATTTATGCACTTTAATGTACCTATGTATGTTTTTGAAAAAGTTTTTTAAAATCAATGTTTATGTGTATATATCTTTTATCCTGATATAAAAGAATTTGGAAGCAATGTGTTAACCAAGTTCTTAACAGTGGCTTTATCTATATTGTTGTAGATAGAACTTTTCCTATTTTGCTTATCTGTATTTTCAAATGTTTGTACAAATTTATGTATGTTTAGTAGCAAGAAAAATTGAACAAAATCTTCTTTATATTTGATGTATTAAAACTAAATAGGTTCTGAAAACTCTTCAAAATGAGAATGAAATTCATCCTTCTTTTTGCCAGGCTAGAAGTATGAATGACCTCCATCTTAATTTCTCCATCAGATTAATTTAAAGGAGAAGCTTGGATTATGCTAACAATGGAAAATTCTGAACATTTCCAAATTTTCCTATTGGATTCAATTGATCCTCCAAATTATTTCTTCTCCTCTTGTAATCTTGATGCCCCAAATGCTGCCATAAAGGGGAGAAAGTTCACGTTAGCAGGAAGATCCCTTACACCATACTCCAAACTGATCTCCATTGGAAGGTTTTCCCACCTGAAACCTGAGAACAAAGGCTAACCGTGAGACCTTCTCTTTCAGGACGATATCATCACTGTGATCAGCCGAGTGGACGAGAACTGGGCAGAAGGCAAGTTAGGAGATAAAGTGGGCATCTTCCCTATCTTGTTTGTAGAGGTACGTGAGTCTCAAGTCAGTGCTAGTCAAGATTACCCAAAAACATGCATGCACCCAGCGATGCCTGAGAGCGATTCCTACTTGACACAAGGCTTATTTTGGAACTGACCAATGTCTCCAAAGAAAAGGTGTCCCATAATAATGCCCAGTTCTGGCAAGAGTGGGGAAATAGCCTTTTCCATTTGGCTGCAGGGAGTTTTAACACTGATGAAATCTCTCACATTCAAATGCAAATTCATTCATTTCAAAACCTTAAAATGTGCACCATTTTAAGTCAGCAATTCCACATCTGAGAATTTATTGTGAGGAAATACTTAAATGACCATGCAAAGATACATGTACAAAATATGCAAAAATGTTCACCCTGCATTATGTATAATGATGAAAACAATCTAAATATCCAACAATAAGGATTTTTTTGTTTTTTTAAATTATGGTGATGGAATAATAGCCATTAAAATAATATTTAATATCATGGAATATTTAATATTATGGAAAATTTTATGATTTGTTGTTAAATTGGAAAAAACAATCTAAAAAATTTTATTAGGATATATTCATTGTACATGGGGGGATTCATTGTGATAATTCCAAATAGGCTTATTTTGTACATTGGTTAGATCACCCCCACCATCTCTCCTCCTCAACCCCCTCCCCACCCCACTTCAGGCAATTGCTAGAGGTTTCACTGCTGTATTTCATATAGGTGTATGAAGTCCATCAACCATATTCCCTTACCTTCATCTCCTCCATTCACTTACTTACATGAGTACCTCCACACACAATGAACCAATTTTACAGCCCTGTCTTTTGTTATTAATTTCTAAGTCAGTGTTCAAAGGGATTTCTCAAGCTATCCCCACTGCAAGTATACTTTACTTTGATCCATTTAACCCCTTCCATTGCTCTCCCTTACCCTTCCCTCCCACCCCCCATTTTTTAACAGTTTTCAGTACATATTATCGTCTACCTTCACAGATGTCATGTTAAAAACAAAATTTAATGAGTACAGAGTTTCAGATTCACAAGATTAAAAAGGTCAGAGATGTGTTTCACAACAATATGAATATTCTTAGCACTACTGAACTGTACACTGAAAAATGGTTAAGATGGTAAATTTTACATGTGTGTTCTACCACATTTAAAAAGTTGAACTGGGTGAAACTAGCTTTATAAATATATGTATACATAAGTAGATAAGGAATTAGCACAGTAGGTACCAAAATATTATAGTTGTGATCACTAAATGGTGAGATTCTAGACGACTTTCATTTTTCTTCTACAAACTTATTTTTTCTAATCTCCTGAAATAAACATGCTATGCTGTCTATTTCTCCAGTATAGAAATCTAACCCTGAATCCCTAACCTCACTAGCCGTGAGCTAAGGCTTGGAACCTCCCTAGCTTAGAGCAAGTCATTAGGAATTTATAAGAGAGTTTTCATTGTTTAACCACATTTATTGTGTGCTTCCCATGCATAAAGCATTAAAAATGAGTGTTGGAGAGCTATGAAAGAAGTAAAAAACATGATCTCTACCGTCTGGGAAGGTGGGGCCAAAACAGAACTGAGGCATAATAGGAAGAAGAGACCAATTTTTCCATTCATAAGAGGCGGAGCAGGTTTTACAGTGAATGGTATATAGAAAGCATTGTTCAGTTGTCAAGGTTCTGGGTAACCCCTTTGCTCAATCAGTAGTGAAGGAATGAACAATGAAGGGAGGGATGGGGGAAGGGTAAGAAGAGCTGTTATTTTTACTCTCTCCTAAAAGATATCCTCATTCCTAATGTCTTTTCTCTTGCTAGTGTACTCTTCTAGGTACACTCACCCAGTGCTTTTGATGTGTTCTAATCTCACTCATTTTATAAGGCTCAGCTGGAAACCCACACTGTCTATAAAATTTCAGCAACTAGTTGAAATCTTACTTGTATCTTTCTTCTCTAAACACCTGACAGGTGTATTGGTTGTACTTCACAACCTAGCTTATCTAGAACAGGTACTCCATAAAAAAACTTTTTTAAAAGTAAATAAAAAAACATAGCTTGCTTAGCATGTATAAGGCCCTGGGTTCAATCATCACCACAAAAAAATTGGCTTAACAAGTGAACAAATGAGTAACTATTTGAAAGTGATTAGAAAAAATTTAGAGGCCAAGAGCATTGGTACATGTAATCCCAGTTACTCAGGAGGCAGAGACGGGAGGATAATGAGTTTGAGGCCAGCCTGGGCAGTTAGTGAAATCCTATATCAAAAACAAAGCACAAACAAAAGGACTTGGGGGTGACTTTAGTGGGAGAGCCTTAGCGTGTGTGAGGTCCTAAATTCAATTCCCCAGTGTCTCCAAAAAATTAGAGAATAGATCATTCTTTGTGAACCTAAACATATATTCAGTCATTCAAGCAATTTTTTCATTGAGTGCCTGCTATGTCAGGTCCTGTGCTAAGTTCTAAAGATACAACACAGAGATGGGTCCCTACTCTCAGAGATTATGGAGTCACACATTCATGTAATTACAAGTGTGATAAATGAGGCAAAGAATGATATAGAGAGAACTATTGGGGGTTATGATGTGTGACTTACTTGGATAGGGGGTCAGCAAATGCCACTTGAGCCATACCTAACAGATGCTCAGAGTTATATAGGTAAGTTTGGAGGGAAGACCATTTTAGAGAATCACGTGCAAGATGTGGAAATGTGGTTAAAAAAATGTAGCCAGGGAAGTAAGTGGGAGACAGAGCACAGAGAGCTTTGTAAACTATCTTATATAGTTTAAAAGGGCTCGGTCTCAAGGGCTAAAGAAAGAAAATGTTATTTCTCACCCACATTACATGTTCAGCATAGGATGGTGAGAGGTTCTGCTCACAAAGTCACTCAAGAACCCATACTAATAAGGCTGGGCCATTGTGACCTTCCTAGTTTCCAGAGGAAGGGGGGGAGTGAGTTGTCTATCAGCATCTGAATGACAACTCAGAAGTGGCACCTCCTGCTCCCACTCACCGCCCATTGGCCCAAGCCAGTCACATAACTCACCTGATGTCAAGTCAGCTGAGTTTAGAGGAACACATGGACTACTTGGTGAATATGGTCTCTGTCATACTAACAGAAGTTTGGACTTGACCTGAAAATCAATAGAAATCATTTAAAGGTTTTAGTGAGGCAGTGACTTTATCAGACTTGGGTTTTTTATGATTATTTTTTGTTTTGTTTTGTGTTTTTAGGCAGGGCCTCATTTTAGGCCAATCTTAAACTTGTGATCCTATTGCCTCAGTTTCCCAAATGCTGGGATTACAGGTGTGTGCCACCACACAGACAGGCTTCTTTTCTTTTTTTAACTGACATAAATTAGTTGAACAAAAAGGTGTTTCTTCATGGCACTTCTATGCATGCGTGTATTTGATCAATACCCCCTATTACTCATTCTTCATCCTTCTCCGCCACTTTCTCCCTCCCCTTTTTTAATTGGTTGCTACTGGGTTACATTATGCTATTTTTATACATATACAATGTACTTCTGCTATTTTGACATATATCTATATCTATATATAAAATGTGCTTTGCTCATATTCGCTCCCCATCATCCTCGCCTCCCCCCACCTCCCGCCCAGTGGCTCCCCTGCTTTTGCAATCCTGTCAAATGGGGCTTCTTACAGTCTGTTTTGACTGCAGTGAAAAGAATAATTTGAAAAGGAGGGAAAAAAAAAAAAACAGAAAGCCCACTGAGGAGGCTACTGTTTAGTCAATTAGGTGACTCTGGCTTAGACTAGCAGATTGGAAACAACGAGGTAGAATCCTCAGGATTGAAACATTGCAGAAGAGGAGAAAGGAAGGAGTCAAGGGCAGCCCCACATTCTGATTTTTGTGCTTAAGTCAGTTGGTGCCATTTGCTACGTTAAGCAACAGTTTGCAGAGCAGGAGCAATGATGGTGATTGGGACAAGGACAGAGATCAGCTGTAATTAGACATGCTGTGTCTAAGTGGATACAGAGGAGGTGTGAAATTTTTTGCTTGTTCTCCACATTATTTTGAGATGCTTCTTCATAGTTCTGTGGAAGAGAGGCACCAATGATTATACTACCCATTTCTGGAACTTTTTTTTTTTCCAAAACTTCTAATTTAATGATTATTCATTTGAGTACTTTCACTACCACTTTACCTCTAAAATTAGTGATTAAAGAACCCTCAAAATTATCATCAAACTAGCCACTGCTTCATTTGTTCTCCTAATTGCTAGGGGCGGGGGGGAAGATAATCAAGTAGTTGCTCTAATCTAGGAACCTGCTTTTCAAAAATTACTTGAAATCTAAATTGAGCTTTTTCAAGCAGTACTTACATTTTGACTCCAGTAATTTCATTAAGACTAGCACTTGCTGAGAACTCTTAAAAGAAGCTTTGAATTCCCTGTGCCAGGCAAAGCAATTGGAAGGAAGGAATGCTTTCTTACGAGAATGTGGTGGGGGGGGTTGTTTTGGGGTTTTTTGGCATGCATGTTTTCTGTTAATGTATCATCATTTGATTTATTGAATCACACCTGCATAGTAGGTAGCAAAACAAATACTGCGTTTCTGCCTGTTCTTGTCAGGACTTCTCCAACAGGGTCTGCCTGGGTTACCTGAGCCTTGGCCAGCCCAACGAACCTCAAGGATATTGTTTCAAATGAGTGAGTGCAAATCTAAGAGACTATTAATCACACTGGAGAAAAAGGCAGACACAGATCTTACACAGATCTTACTGGGTCCTTTGTCAGAGTTGCTGACAGAAAAGTTGATGGTGGTACTCACCTGGGGACAAAACAATTAGGTCAAAGCAGAAAAAAAATTAACTTATTTTATTACAGCTGTGAATGGCTGTAAAATAACATTACTCATTCAATTCAAAGTGTGTGTGTTGTCCTCTTACACCATGAACCTTGGAAGGACAGGTGCTCTGGGGAATACAAGACATTGTCCCTCATCCAGGCTGCCATCAGAGCCTGCCTGAACAATTCCAACATGTTCCTCTTATATCTTCCTGCTTCTCTTCTGACATTTCTGAATAACAACCATAGTAAGCTTTTTGTTTATTTATGGAGAGTAAAATTTTCTTTTCTTTTCTGGTGGGGGTGGGGCAATCCAATTCTTTAAGTTTTGATAAATGCCTGTACTTACATAAGCATACTACAACCAAGATACAGAAGAGTTTCAACACCCTCTGACCAAATGCCTTACCTTGACCCATGGTTGATAATTCTGTCCCTGACTCTCAGCACCCGGCAACCACGGATCTATTTTCTGTTCCTATGGTTTTCTTTCTCTCAGAATGTTCTATAAATGGAACCACACAGAATGTAGCTTTTGGAATGTGGCTTCTTTCATTTTGCGTATTTAATTTGAGATTCACGCATGTTGTTTCCGGTATCAGTAGTTTTATTGCTGAGTAGTAGCTTCTTGCATGGATATAGCAGAAGTGGTTTATTTATTTAATAGTTTGGACACATTCAGGTTATTTTCCATTATTGACAACTACGAACAAAGCATTATAGAGGCTGAGGCAGGTGGATTGTGAGTTCAAGACCTGGACAATATAATGAGACCCTATTCCCCCTGCAAAAAAAAAAAAAATGACACTTTAAACGTTTACATAACAGATTTTGAGTGAGCATAGGTTTCTATTTCTCTTGAGTAATTATCTAGGAGTAGGATTGCTGGGGCAGATGCTAAGTACATGTTTAACTATAAGAAACTGCCAAACTGTAACATGAGCTTTGAAAAGCATAAATCAGATCATGTCACTCCTCCACCTAAATCCTGCCAGAGCTTCCTAGGCCCTGTGTGATCTGACCCCTGCCTATCTCTGTGGCCTCCTGCCTTACCACCTTCTCCTCACCTGTCCAATTCTACCTTTTCTGTTTCTTGTATCTTTTTCTCGAATAAGCCAAGCTCTTTTCTGTCTTTAGGACTTTCCTAACAGCTTATAATCTTTCTGCCTGTCATGTTCCTACCCCATTTTTACAAAGCCAGCTCCTATTTCTGATTTGTTGTCTCAACTTGAGTGTAACTTTCTCAGAGGGTTCCTTGACCTCTCAATCTGAAAAGTAATCACCTCCCTCAGTGACTATCAAATTGGAGCACATAATAGTTTACGTGCTGGCTCTGTCATTTATGTCACTCATTCTGGGCCTCAGCTTTCTTATCTTTAAAGTGGACATAATACATCCATCCCCCCCTACTTGATAAGTTTTCACAACATGACAAACTTCTTGAGGCAAGAACTAGATTTTCTTCAAAATTTTCTATATCAGCTATTTTAATCCTCTGCACATTGTCACTTAGAGTTCTTAAATGGGAATATTACTTTTTATCTCTATAGTTGAAATTCTAAATTAGAATAAGACATATGGTTTTAGAGAACAACTGATGATAATAATGGAAATTTAATTAATCATCTTGAAATTTTAAGAGTTGACTCAGATGAACCCTTGGTTTGTCAACATTTTTTTTTTTTTTGCAGTACTGGGGCTTGAACTCAGGGCCTTCACCTTGAGCCACTCCACCAGTCCTATTTTTGTGAAAGGTTTTTTGAGATAGGGTCTGGCGAAGTATTTGCCCAGGCTGGCTTTGAACAGGGATCCTCCTGATCTCTGCCTCCTGAGTAGCTAGGATTACAGGCGTGAAAGTACCAGCACCTGGCTTTGTCAACATATTTTAGATTTGTAAAGGAAATGAACCCACAGGGGCTGTGGTGGAAATTACCAAGATAATGGGGAGGCAGTAATATGGTGCTGGGCTCCGGCTGGCTGGTACTAGATCAAAAGTACCATTGTTACAGTTCCAAGAATTTGTTAGTCAGTGGTAAAACCATTGGAAGATTGGTAACCCTACAATATAGGATGTCTCTATCTTTTTTTTTAGAGAAAGAGAGGAGCTAATTTACCATTACACCACTATCAAAGAGGCATAAAACAAGGGAGAAAGGTGAAGAGAGAAAAGTATTTAAAAAAAAGTAAGAAGGCTGGCAGAATGGTTCAAGTGGTAGAGTGCCTGCCTAGCAAGTATGAGTCCATGAGTTCAAATCCCAGACCTGCAAAATAAATAAATAAATAAATAAAAGTAAATAAAAAGACACTGTTAGCAAAAGGATTCAGGATCCTGAATGCATTTACATCTGTATCAAATACTTATCTAACATATAAACTTGAAGTTGATAAAAGGCAGAAACTGTTGTTATGATGACTAAGGAATAACCATGTGAACCAGTGACTGAAGAAGTGACATCTGACCTGGCTTCCAGCTGGCCTGGGGAGGAAGGTGGGACAACTTGCTGCCCACAGTACATCATAGAGATTAACTTCTCATTTCATCTCATCTCTTTTGCCTTTTCAGCCAAACCTCACTGCAAGACACCTCCTAGAGAAAAACAAAGGGCGTCAATCATCCCGCACAAAAAGCCTATCCCTGGTGTCCTCATCCTCCAGAGGCAAAATGGCCAACACACCCACCCTCCGTAGGGACCCAGGGTCCAGGAGGAAGGGGCCAGGGCAGTTCTCCATCACCACTGCCCTGAACACTCTCAACCGAATGGTCCATTCTCCCTCGGGGCGCCACATGGTGGAGATCAGCACTCCAGTGCTTATCAGCTCCAGCAACCCCTCTGTGATTACCCAGCACATGGAGAAGGCAGACTTACCTCCCAGCTCTGCAGGGCAGGTAAGGACAAATCCCTGGGATGCAGACACCTTGAGGTAGGCAAGGAACCTGCACTACGTCACAATCAGTATCTGGTGTTTAGAACTTGTTAGGCTTAAAAGTATGCATAGAATATTCTTGCCATGCATGAAGATTAACGAATGTCATAGGTATCAAATATCAGAGCTGGATATACATGACCTCATTTCATCCATGAACAGCCTGTGAGTTAGGTATTATTAGTATTATTATCCCCATTGCAGATGAAGAAACTAAGGCTTAGAGGAGTTAAACAACTTGTGCGATTTCTTGCAGATACTTTCTATCCTATACTGTGTCATGTCATGACTCCTGTCCCTTAGAGAACTTTCCAAGGATGTGATGGCACCCATTTTCCAAAGGGGGTTTTGTCATCACAATTTGAGATTCACTATCCCATCTTCTAGTAATGTACTAGGTGTCACACAGAGAAAAAGCAGCAGAAATTGGGTTATTGAGTGTTCTCAGGACTGACTATATAATTGTGGGGCCCAATTCCAAATGAAAATGCAAATCCCTTGCTCAAAAAATGATTAAAATTTCAAGATGACAACAGCAGAGCATTAGACCAAGCGATGACCCTAGACAACTCCACAAGTCACACACTTGTGAAGCCTGCTGGGAGTTTTCAAAGGAACATCTAATGAGATAATGCGCGTAAAGTACTTAGCACAATGATGCCTGACACATACTAGGCTCTTAAGCATTTGCTCTTAATAGTATTTTTATCATTAACCCTGGTCACTGAGTTACCAACTGAAGAGAGATGAGCCAAGGTGCGTTGTGGCAATCCAGAAGCTGAAGTACTTCTGACAGCATGTGGCTATTTAGGTTGAAGGGCACTTTAAAAGAAGAAGGAGTAGAGGTATGAGGCAAAGTAATTAAGAGGAAATGCATGTTGGGTGTTCATCTGAAAACACTCTTTGGAACCATGCAGGTGGCAACTTGAAAGGACAAACTTCAACTTGCACTGATGTATTTTAAAAAAAGAAGCTGCAAATCTTGTTTTTAAACGTGAATTTCTACTGTGAGATTAAATGGCTTAATTGGACTCTAATCCCTTTTTAACAAGACAAAGAAGACGGAAAAAGTCAAGGGCTCCTCAAAGACCTGTGTGCTGGCCTGAAAGGAAAACAGTCACCTCCTCCAATACTTTGTATTTTATACCACTGTCTGGGTCACTAAGAGGTTTGCTGCTTAGGTAATTCTGCCCACCGCCTACAGGGTAGTTGAGTAGACACACATACACATACACATGTTCTCCTTATACACTTTCCCTCATTAAAAGAAATTCTTTCTGACACATTCTAAACACTTTTTTACAAATATATACATGCTTTGTGCCCAAAGTTGTTCTTCTAACACATACACATGCACCCACACTCTAAAGAAGGACCTGATGACTCACATAAAGCCAGAGTCACAGAAGTTTTCGAAACCATTCTTTATATAGAGACAGAGATACATAAACTACAGCCTACACTCAGCAGAAACAAGCTAGCTCACTCAGCTGTGAGTTGGCTTCTCAAAAAGATGTAGCCAAGACACATTTTCCCTGTGCCTTTTAAGTTCTTACTCCTGGTCATTTACCTCATCTACAGAGAGGATGAGCCAGAGTGGGGGAATCCTAGTAAGATTCAAAGTGAGTCTGTTCCTTCCAAGTTTGCACAAATAATGAGAATTCCAAAGTACAGCATTCATATCTCCTATTCTTAGGGAAACTCTGCGAGGGGTTGATAGCCTCTGATCAATGCAGATGGCTGTGGATTGTTTCCACATGTTTGTCCAAGTGTTATAAAAACACACTCAAAAGCCTTGTGAAGGAGCTGATTTCTAAAGATGAACAGAAAGTTCAACAAATGGCAAATTCTCCTGCTTCCTCTTTTCTCTAACATCCTTGAGAGCTGTGTTTGGGTCTAGCCCATCAAGCTCCCCCTACTTTCCCTACCCCATACCTTGCACAGCACCTGGACCCTTGTTGGGTGCTTAGTAAGTCAAGGAATCAATACTTTTGTCTTAAATATCTGGGCAAATGGTAACATATACTTAGGGAACACTATAGGAAGAATTAAATTCCTATAGGAAGATCACAGATCAGTGTAACTCTTTCAACCAATAAATATCCGTTGAATACTTACAATATATGAGTAACCTTAGTGAGTTCTAGGATTCTACTACCAAAACAACATGACAGGAATAATAATCTCAAACTTTTTTGAAGTCGATATGAGACAGACAGATGGATGGACAAATACATAGGCAGATAGAGCCTCCTTTTGCTCCAGTCATCTAAGTCCTGCCCTCCATCCTAAAAATGTGGTAGAAGTCATTGTAGGGGAGGCATTATCACCATTTTAGAGGAAAGTAATTAAGGCATTCAAAGAAAAATTATTTGGCCAAGTTCATGTCGTTAGTCCGGATTGAACTGAAAACTTGCCTAATTCTAGAACGTAAGCTTTGGCACTACACTGGACTACACTCTGCCGTCCACAAAGAGCACATCCTTTGGCTGATCTGGACGTCTTCAACCCCCCTCTCTTGGTTATCTACCTTTGGTTACTTTTTCACTTCATAGCTTTCCAGCATTTTCTTCCCCATATGCCTCTCAGTAAACAATGTGCCCTATGTCTTTTGCATATAAAGAACGCTTTCTTTTACTATCATTTTTTTCCTTTAAGAACTACCAACTGTGTACAAGCATTCATTGTGTGGTGGTAAAAACACCAAGAATAAGTTGTTGCTAGCAAGGAATTCATAGTCTAGAAGAGGTACAAAAATAAACGGCCAACTGTAGTGGTGTTAGAACTCCCGAAAGTGGGAGACCCCACAGGGACTAAGATGGTATAGGAAGTCAAAAATTGATAACACAAAACTGTATACTGGGAAAGTTACTTCTCCAGTGTTTCACAAGTGCTTTTGTGATATCAAGAAGGTCTTAATTTGGCACCGGTGTTTCTTTAATAGCTTTCTAACATTTCTCAAGCTTCCTCTATAAAGAAGAGACAGGCATCAGACCCAGAGCTTCAGCAAGCTATTGCTCCATTTCTAAATTGTGTTTTTATTATGTTATTTGGTGATAACTTTCCAAATCTTACAAGTGATACCAGTTTAATGTTCAAGGAAGTATAAGATTTTTCATGTACTTCAAATTTAAATAAATTTTAAAGATATTTTCACATTTAAAAAACAGGAAGTTAATAAAGTTACAAGTGAGATTTAACTATGGCAAAACTATGACTAATGAGATAATGTACATCAAGTGCTTAGCACAATGATTTAGAAAACACTGATCCCAGGTAAACGCATGTACCAGAGCATGCATGCTGGGCCTCAGACACAGGAGAGGTTCAGTCTTCTATCCCATAAGAGAGGGATACTTGAATATTTGAATGTTACTTCCTTCTGGGAATATGAAGTAAAAGGTCCAGGAAAATTCTTTTAGGGGAGTTGTAAAGTATTTTTAGGCCCTACCAACTAGACAAAGGGAAGTTGGAGAATAAGAAACCATGTTTCTAAAATCAGCACTGAAACATCCTGGTTAAATAGCCTGGTTCCCTTCTATGGTAGAAACAAGTGTAGGATTGTCTCTCCCATCTTAAATTTGTGATTGCTACCTTCTTGTAAAGAGAAACCAGAACAGGAGTTTCATATTCCCATTGTCTTTATGTCTTTCGACACTTCTGGGTAGAATATTAAGAAATAATCTCAAAGATGAACTGAAGCTATGGACTAAAAACAACCACACTTGAAAAGAATTCAGGAATTAGACCGTGGACGACTTGGGTGGAGGAGGTGAATCAAGTGGGTTGGCACTGAGGCTATTGGCCTGTGAGAGTCTTAGAGGCTCTCTCTAAGTCTGTGCTGAGAAGGGGTGTTTCAGAAGGAGAAAATAAACTACACAAGACACAAGTTAGAAAAGTCTTTCAGCAATACAATGCCTTTTTAGAAGTCACAAATGCAAGTCTTCCCACCCTGATTCTAAAATTGACTTGATTCAGCATGGGGAGCCTCTTGCCCTCACACTCACAGGCCAATGAAGCATTCCTGTTTCCTGTAACTATGGACCTCTTAAGCAGTCCCACTGCCTTCAACATACCCGCTTCCTCCCATTCCCTTCCCATCCCACTACATCTCCCTAGATCCCACCTTCAGCCTCCCTCCTCCTGTATTTCAGACCCAGGACAGTGGAACCACTGTTTTTCCCAAACCTCTACAGTGCCTAGTCAACAAGCCCATTTTCCCACTTAAAAAACCATTACTTCTGTCCATTCTATGCCACTGCCTTAGTTTTGACTCCCATCTCTTACCTAAGATGTTGCTCCAGCTTCCTCACTGGCCTCCCAGATCCATGTTCAGTCACCACCTCACGCCACCCAGCCCCTCCCACCTCCTCCATTTCTCCAATCATGGTCCCTATAAAATCCAGATCCTTTCAAGAACTCCTCTTCCCAAAACCCCTAATGGTTCCCAATAGCCCCAAGGGAAATAATACCTACTATTTATTGAGTGGCCACCAAAGCCATAATCTGTAAGAGATGATTTACAAATAATACCTACTATTTATTGAGTGGCCACCAAAGCCATAATCTGTAAGAGATGATTTACAAACATTATGACTATCCTCACAACTGTTCAGAATAGGCATTGGTAGGTCCATTTGAACAAATGGGAAAACTTTGAGACAGAAAGATTAGGTAAAGTGCTCAAAGTCTCAAAGCTAGAAAACGAACCAGGGTTTCAGGGTACACCCATGCTCTCTCCCTAAAAGATTTCTTCATGTGGCATTCTAGACCCTCCATGATCTGGCTATGATCCACCTTCCAGCACCCCACCTCCACACACATGCACACACATGAACATGTACCTAAGCAGATGCACACAAAAAGTTACAGCTTTCCTAAGCATAGCATATAGTAGGTCACCTTATTGATTTTTGTCCTTGTGCTCAACACAATGCGTTATTGTGAGCAGTAAGATTTTGG